TAGGGAGAGGGGGCTAAAGTGCCAGTGAGCCAGTTCTTGGGACTGGTGCTGATTATGTCATCAAGGACTTAGGATCCTGTGTGGGACTGGTGAGAAACAACAGAATGGAGAAATATTTAAGATGTAATGAATGAGACCTGGTAACTGGATGTGGGGCGTGAGAAAAAGGGAAGGTGAGGCTTACATTTCTAGCTTGAGCAACTAAATGGATGGTGGTGTCATGTTTTCAGAGCAGAGGGGAGAAGGAGCAGGTTTTGTGGTTCAGATCATGAGTTCACTTTTGGGTGTATGAGTCTGAGGTGCTTGGAGGGCTTCCTGCAAGAGGATTCCAGAAGTTAGATGGGTTCCAAGCTCAGTTGGGGATAGTCGTTGGCTTAAGAGGTGGTAAGTGGTATGCACATGGAAATTATGTTACCAGAGACTTAGAGACTTTTTTTTTTTTTTGAGTTGGAGTCTCACTCTGTTGCCTACGCTGAAGGCAGCGGCATGCTCCCAGCCACCACAGCCTCGACCTGCTGGGCTCAGGCGATCCTCCGTTATCAGCCTTTCAAGTAGCTGGAACTACAGGCACACACCACCATGCCCGGCTAATTTTTTGATTTTTTAAAAATTTTTTTGGGGTTGGAGTCTCACTCTGTCGCCCAGACTGGAGTGCAGTGGCCGCTCCTGGCCGCCGCAGCCTCGACCTGCTGGGAATTACAGGCATGCACTACCACACCCGGCTGTGAGGTCTTGCTAAGTTGCTCAGACTGTTTCTTGAACCTGTGGGCTCAGGCAATCCTCTCACCCTGGCCTCCCAAAGTGCTGGGATTATAGGCATGAGTCACCACACCTGGCTGAGACTTAGAGATTAATGCTCTTTTCTTTTTTTTTTAGTTGGAGTCTCACTGTGTTGCCCAGGCTGGAGTGCAGTGTCACGCTCACAACCACCACAACCTTGACCTGCTGGGCTAAGGTGTTCCTTCCGCCTCAGCCTTCTAAGTAGCTGGAACTACAACGTGTGTGCCACCACACCTGGCTAAGTTTTTTTTTTTGGTAGAGATGAAGTCTCACCAAGTTGCCCAGGCTGGTCTCGAACCCTTGGGCTCAGGAAATCCTCTCACCTCGGTCTCCCAAAGTGCTGGGATTACAGGCTTGAGCCACTGCACCCATCTAGAGATTAATGTTCTTTTCCTCTGAGATCTCTTTAGGCAAATTACCAGAAACGCTTACATGCAAATACTTTCTGGTTATAACTTGGCTTCCCCACATCATCTAGATGGTTCTAGAACCCCCACTCACTTCTAGCAATGAAAGGCCTGTGGAAGGGAGAGATCCTGGAAGTTTAAGCTTCATTAGTTTTACTGTATCTGCCTCTGCCCTTGAGAAAATGTTGGCTGAGAGAAGGGAAGAATCCCAACAATTGATGGAGGGGTCCAGAAAAGTCCTGTCAGTAAGGCTGAGGAGTGGCCAGGAAGGTAGGAGGAGGCTGGGAGAGGCTGGCTTCACAGGAATGGTTGTTCAGAGGATCATCATCACTAGCAATCAAATGTCTGTCAAGTTCTGCAAATTATTTTCGGTGTCTCTCTCCCCACATCTCTGCTGCCACCTCCTGGCCAGTGGCTACCTTTTTTTTGAGTTGGAGTCTCTGTCACCCAGGCTGGAGTGCAGTGGCACACTCACGGCCAGCCCAGTATCAACCTGCTGGGCTCCGGTGATCCTTCCACCTCAGCCTTACAAGTAGCCGGAACTACTGGCGAGCACTGCCACATCCAGTTAATTTTTTTGATTTATTGTAGAGACAAGGTCTTGCCAAGTTGCCTGGGCTGGTATCAAACCTGCAGGCTCAGGCCTCCCAAAGTGCTGAGATTACAGGCTGAGTCACTGAGCCCGGCCCAGTGGCCACCATTATACCTGGGTGATTGGTCCTATCATCCCCATCTACAGCCCTACAGGTACACTTACAGCATGCATCCTGTTGGATTATCCTTTGTAAAGGGGAGCTTGGACCATGCCAATCCCTTGCTCAACAATGTTCAGTAGCTCCCTGTCAACTCCAAACTAATGCCCCATACGTAGCCTGGCATACTGGGCCTTTACCACTTGATCCAGGTGACCTTTCCAACAGTGCCTCAACCTGTTACCTCACAAAGACAAGCTGATCTATTCATGTCCCCCAGCCATCAACCTTGATGAGGCTGTAGAAACTTCCTGGAGTGTCTACCTTCATACCTAAATTTTCCAAGGCCAGACCTTTTCTAGGAAGCCTTTCCTGCTATACCACTGGGCACTCAATCTGACTCTTGGTGAGTTCCTTGACCATCCTTCTCCTGGGATCTCACAACACTCTACTGTGCTTTTTACCAAGTTCACAGCTTACTCCCCAATGAGACTAAATTCCTGAGAGCAGGGACTGTGCCACTTCCCTTCTGTCTCTTCTACTGCACCCAGCACAGGGCCAGATAGGAAACAGGCAGAGGAAATGCTGGTTAGTAGAACACGCTCACTGAATTTCTTGTGTATGAACAAGAGATCGCAAATGTAACTGTCTTCAGGAGTCAGACAGATATGACAACACATATCAGGCAGATATGTGTTAAACTGCCCAGTGTGAGACAGATGGGAATGGTGCAGCTTATGTCAAGTGAGAGACCTCATTCTCTTGCCTAAACTATTAAAAATACCCAAAACATTGGCCAGGTGTGGTAGCTCATGCCTGTAATCCCAGCACTTTGGGAGGTGGAGGCGAGAGAATTGCCTGAGTCCGCGACCAGTCTGGCCAACATGGCAAGACTTCATCTTTACAATAAATCAAAAAACTGGCTGGGCATGGTGGTGCACACCTGTAGTTCCAGGTACTTGGAAGGCTGAGGCAGAAGGATCGCCTGAGCCCAGCAGGATAAGGCTGCGGTGGCCATGAGCAGCACGCCACTACACTCCAGCCTGGGTGACAAAGTGAGACTCCGGCTCAAAAAACACACACAAAAAAACAAGGTTGGGTTTGGCGGCTCACACCTATAATCCTAGCACTTTGGGAAGCCAAGGTGAGAGGACTGCCTGAGCTCATGATGGGTTCGAGAACAGCACGGGCAACTGAGGAGACCTCATCTCTATAATTAAAACAAAAATTTAGTTGGGCATGGTGGCACATGCCTGTAGTTCCAGCTACTTGGAAGGCTGAGGCAGAAGGATCACCTGAGTCCAGCAGGTCAAGGCTGAGGTGGTCGTGAGCACGTCACTGCACTCTAAGCCTGGGCGACAGAGTGAGACTCCGACTCAAAAAAGAAAAAAAAAATCATTAGTTTGAGACCCTGAAATATAGGTCCGAAATACATTCCGCATTCAGGTGGTCCTTTAGAGCTTTCAAAGCAATTTTTTAATTTTTGAGTTGGAGCCTATGTCTCCCAGGCAGGAATGCAGTGGCACACTCATAGCCACCACAGCCTTCACCTGCTGGGCTCAAGCAACCCTTCCACCTCAGCCTTCCGAGTAGCTGCAACTACCAGCATGCGCCACCACGCCCTGGTAGTTTTTTGATTTATTGTAGAGATGGTCTCGCGAAGTTGCCCAGGCTGGTCTTGAACTTGTGAGCCCAGACAATCCTCTCTCTTCGGCCTCCCAAAGTGCTGGGATTACAGGCGTGAGCCACCACGCTCGGCTCTTTCTCTCTCATTTTGAGTTGGAGTCTCATTCTGTCGCCCAAGCTGGAGTGCAGTGGCACACTCACGGTCACCCCAGCATCGACTTGCTGGGTTCCAGTGATCCTTCCACCTTCCAAGTAGCCAGAACTACAGGTGCGCAGTACCACGTCCAGCTCATTTTTGATTTATTGTAGAGATGAAGTCTCACCAAGTTGCCTGGGCTGGTCTTGAACCCATGGGCTCAGGCAATCCACTCGCCTCAGCCTCCCAAAGTGCTGGGATTACAGGCTACTGAGCTGGCCAACACCCCGCCCTTTCAAAGCAATTTTACACCTGCAACTTTATCCTCATTTTACAGATTGAGGAAACTGAAATGCATAAAGGTGAAATGAATTCCTCAAGGTCACACAGCAGAAAATTAGTAGCATAAGGCTAGGTCCAACCTATTCAGATTCAGGTCTGGTCTCCCCTCTTCTGAAGGTGATGGGAAGAGGGTCTAAAAAAGGTTGGGTATCATTCACCTTTCATTCAACCCAAACTTCATCTGCAAAATCGGATCAACAATCCCTTCTTCACAGAAAAGAGCTAAACTGGGTAGAGGAAGGGGAGCTGTACGAGGGCTTTCTAACCTGGTCTCCTAGGGTAGGCTTTAGGTGATAAAACTTTGTGCATTTTTGGCTTAGACAGCTTACTAGGAATCGGGCTGTCACTGTGTTTAATCTCTGAGCTTTAATTAGTTCATAAAATGGAGCATTGTGAGGAAGGAAAGATAAATGTACAGAGTAGCCTCAGTAGAAGGTAGTTGTTATTTATTGTTCTATTCTGGGGTTAGGGTATCACACACCTCAAACGGGTTCTTAACTTAGAAAGTTTGCGAACTGGCACAGATGTTTGGAGGCTATCGGAAAACCATCTGCATGTAAAATGAAGCAGTTTTACAGAGAAGCTGCCATGGGAATCATGCCGCTGTTAACTCGCCTTAGCTAGTTGGGTGATCTATAAATGAGAAGCGGTGGTGAACGGAGTTGGCAGCCGCAATGCAGCTCGAGTCAGCTTCAGTGGCAGAGGGTAAAGACGCTCTGAGGGGCAAAGCGCGGAGCCTCGGGGTAAACTACATCTCCCAGCCTGCCTTGCGCTTCGGGCGGGGCCCTACGCAAGCACGCTAGCCTCCCCGCCCCCAACCTCCAGTTATTGTGTCTCGCGAGAGGACGGGCCGCGCCGGCGGTAGCGATAGCGAGCTGGGGTGGTTGTGGTGGTGGCGGCCGAGACGGCGGCGGCCATTTTGGTGAGGCCTCGGGAGCGGCGGCGGCGGTTCGTT